ACTGTTTCAATTCATATCCAGTTAGCTTTTATTACACCGGAAGTCATAAAACGCCATGTTCTTTTCAAAGCAGAAAGTACATTTTACTACTTACGTTCACGTGCAAATAACGGCCATAATGGAAAACAAGTTATTTACAACATTTAGAATGCTTGAATCAATCAGATTTTGACATAAGTTAAGGTTTCCATGTCTTTTTTCGGTAACCGGTCAACAAAACACTCCTCAATTCAGACTACACCCTCCCCCATAGTGACCGTGAAATTCGATATCAATATATTTTGCAATACAAATATGAAATATTTATACTATTTCATTCATTTATTCACTATAATAACTACCAATTTCTACATTATGCTAATGTTTGCATAGTTTTTAACTCAAAGGAGTATATTTTGATATAGGGTAATAATAGTGTGTTAGGGTTTGTTGTCATAAACGTTATGCACTTGTAAAATACCAACTAAACCCCTGATTAAAAAATATAATGCAGTCATTTTTTAGTAATTTGTAATTATTGAGTGCTTTCAATTACAAAATATGTAACAATATAAATTTAACCTCAGCACTGACTAGAAAAAGATATTCCAAAAATTCAACCACCACGATGATTAAATCTTTTATAAATCTTGTAAATCTTTACGCTTGATTAAATTTCAGTTATTATCAATTATTGTTTCTTAATGACATTTGATCTTCTTCAGCCTTGGCATTGTCATTTAACTCCTATAACCTTCAATATCGACATTAAGAGAAGGATTTTTAAAAAAGGACCATTGGTGGTAAGACGTCACCGTAATCATCATCATAATCATTCTCGTTATGATCATCGACGTCATTATGATCAATTCCGTCACTATGATAATCATCATAATCTTCGTCGTTGTCGTCGTCGTTATTGTCGTCATGACCATCGACTTCGTCCATATTGTTGTCACCATCGACGTCATTGTCATCGTCGTCGTTATTGTCAGCAAAATCATCGTCGTCATTATCATCGTCTTCATTGGATCATTGTCCTTTTCTCCCTATCCGTTCTTTTTAAACTGTTGACACTAACAAGGACAAACCTATGCTTATAAACTAGAGTGGGAATATATTGAAATCTGACTATAAGCCGCGGTGAATACTTAGTCAGTTAATAAAGTCCGACCCATTGTTTATCTAATCCCGATTATACAGGATTATAGTAGTTGTTATTCTTATAATAATAATATATTGTCATGTATTGTTTTCAGGTATTCAGATACTCCTCTATATTTAATCATATCGGTCACTGTGAGACCATGTTAATGGCAAATCAGCATCTGAATTTTGAGTCTCGTTCGTCAAGGAACACCGGAACAAGGTGCACAGATGCCGTTCACGTGGCTTAATGATAATCTAATATACATGTTACCACATCATTTAGCATTGCGGCATCTTAATTTTGTGTCTTGTTTTTCAAGGAACACGGTACAAAATTGTGCAGATGGCCCTCGCGTGTATCTTCTAGCCTACAAATTGGATTTTTTCTCAAGTTTACATTGTGTCCAAATTAAATTTGGTTCCCCAATTCATGTAGGCAGAAAGACTAAGCCTGTATATTGAACTTCATTTGGTTATAGATTTTCCCAAATTTTTCTAAAAAAAAAATGTTCCACCATTGGCATTAGCTATATTTCTATTTTATTTTTTTTATTTCAATAGCTGAGGGGTTACAACGATCCAAAAATAAGCTCAAACCTTAATTAAATCTGCTTCGTAATAAATTTTATCTCCAGCACTTCATTACGGACTATGATATAAATATTCAAAATATACCCCTTTAATTGGCACATTCTATCGCTTGGATACACTAAGGTAACCTAGAATCCACAGGCGAAATATCAATTTTGATTAGTACCTATATGAATGTAACCTAGGAACCGAATAGAGTATAGCCTATATTAAATTCCAGAAATAGACAATAGCTTGGAATAAGAATGAAAATCTTATAATCGGTGTCAATCAAATGTCAGCTCGATCTAATCAGAATACCTGGTATTATTTCGCAATTTCCTTCATTCGTTTAACATGATATTATGGGACGGGGCTTGAATGAGAGGGTAGGGGGAATTGGAGGGCTGTAGGGGGTGGTTACGTTCTTGATAATGATATAGGATATTAAAGGGCGTAGCTCGGTTATCGGTTTGGAAAAAGGATTTTATTATGATATTTCGTTGGTAGCAGAATCAAAGCGGTCTGACAGTCGATTGGTCAATCCTTTCCCTGCATAAGTAGCAATTCGTAAGAATGTTGGTATGCATCATATACTCAAAAGTCGGTATAAGGGTATGGCTCCAGTGTTCAGTCATTCCAATGGAACAAAACACTGAGGCCCGTTTACAACATTTACTAAAACAGATCTACAGGCATCGACTATATTATTGTGGTAAAACTGAAGCCTCCACAGACACTTTCGAGAGTCGTTATACTAAATCTAAAACTGCCATGGTCCCAATTAAATTTTGAAATAATAATGCTTTAAACATAATTTGTCAATTTTAAAACTTAATACACCACGGCTAATGATTTCGCGATCAAGGTTCAACTGTCCAATTAAGTCACATTTGAAGTAAAACTGCCGTAGGTCCCTTATTAAATTACGAAAATACTAAATGATATTTTACTATATTAGAATAAACGCACCACGGCTGATGCTTTCGAGATCAAGTCCTACCATCTAATTAAGCTTCTTATGAACGAAAACTTCAGTAGGTCCCTTATTGAATTAATGATAATATCCAATGCATATTTGTCTGTGTTACCATTAATACTTAAACCACGGCTAATGCTTTTGGGATCATGTCCTTCCAACCAATAACGTCACATTTGAACTAAAACTGCCGTAGGTCCCTTATTAAATTATTATAATACTTAATGCTATAACATATTTGCCTGTATGAAGTAACACCCAATGTCTTCAATAGAGGACATATTTACACTGTCAATTTTTAATATTTCATGAAAACAAACTGTAAGCTTCTTATTTTTCTGCTGACAATATATTTATATATATATAACCGTAGATTGAATTTATTTTCGTAATTTTTTTGACTATAACTAACAAAAGAATGTGTCCCCTTCCCCTCTCTTTCTCCACCCCACTCATTTTACCCGAAATATTTCATTTAAATAAAATGAAACGAAACGTTATTTTTAGTTATTAAAAATTTCCCCAAAAAGAAGACAAAAATAATGAACAAATTATTGAAAAATATCAAAAATACCCAAAATATGAAAAATGAAATTATTTCTGCCTACCTTTTGTTCTTGGTATTAGTTTCAATTCTTGATTAATCCGTTCAAATAATCAGAGGAAAGATTCCTTGTTTTTATCTATCCCTATACACTTAGTAATAATCTAGAACGCTCAGTCACGACTTAATATATCTGGACGTCAATTCCTGAAAATCTTTTCGAAATCACTAAAATATATAGTCTCCTTTCTAAAGGATACGATTATGAAAATATCATAAAGTCACACCTTCGGAGATTGTTTATAAATCCACAGTTAAACGTCAAGATTATCAGACGAAGCGCCAGAACGATTATCGTCGTGTGATATAATCAACCTATCCTTCAATAGTCTAACACTCTTCTCAATCATTTACCGAACTTTACCGTTCGTCGTTCGATAATTTCCGTAACAAAGTTCCCTAGTAACATAAACAACAACATGATCTTTTTTTACTCATTGATTCTTTTCTTATTGTCCTATCTCTTTTAAGGCCGAGTTGACTTCGTGTTATACCGTTTATATATTGTATCGCCAGGTGTTTGTAGACCCTATGTGTATAGATGTACATAATATACAGACCAAACAAACAGTATCGACTGAATACCGTGATAATCCCAGTTTCATAGTGGCATCAGGTGTTCTCAAAGAGTGGTCAACTTCTCCCCATACCCCCTGAGAAATATTTCGCCCCCTGGAAAACTCTAACCAATGATAAAAGTGTCCTGCTATAAAATATGACTAGAAGTTCGCGGAAGCAGATATCTTTAATGTCTATCTTAGATCATCACATTGCAATCAGTAAACCTAGTGTGGTGCTGCATGTCTTGTCTGACCTGTCAGTTGACCCCAAGACCTAGGGCTGAGCATGACATTGTGAAGATCTTCGTAATAGATTGACATTGTGAAGATGTTCGTAATAGATTGACATTGTGAAGATGTTCGTAATAGATTGACATTGTGAAGATTAAGTTGGTAATAGCTTGACAGTGAAGATGTTCGTAATAGATTGACATTGTGAAGATGTTCGTAATAGCTTGACAGTGAAGATGTTCGTAATAGATTGACATTGTGAAGATGTTCGTAATAGATTGACATTGTGAAGATGTTCGTAATAGATTGACATTGTGAAGATGAAGTTTGTAATAGCTTGACATTGCGAAGATGAAGTTTGTAATAGCTTGACATTGTGAAGATGTTCGTAACAGATTGACATTGTGAAGATGGCATGTCATAACGCAGAAAAGTGTACTAAGTGAAACCAAAACAAGTACAGCCATAGAAAACGCCACGGTTGACTAACCCCTGTCTTCTACTTCAGAAGTATCAAGTAGCGGCCTGTGTTTCACTATATTGTACAGTAGTACAATGGTCATAGTAAAACCTGTAAAGTCAATGGCGTATGTGATTTGGGGGGGCCATGCCCCCCACCCTTCCCTCAGGTCGGTGAAAGGACAATTTTTAAGTGATTTTCTAGATACGCCCTCGTGTACAGTCCTACCTAAAACTCAGTATGTTTATAATACAACCCTGGAAATTGACTTTCCTATATCTTCTGTGGGTAACTTTAACATTTCTATTTAAAATACATCTCTAGATAATTCGTTTCGTATATTCTCTGTGGGTTACTCACTCGAGAACTGAAAACGTCTTTCATTCAATCAACTAACCCATAGAAAAACCTATATAAATTGAACATATCTAGAGCTGTAGTTCATTTATATAAAACAAAACAAATACAGGCATGTATTAAAATATATATTTCTACAAGTTTTATGCCTTATTCACGGGATTCATTTATATACAATTAGAAGTACAAATATAACTTTTATATAATTATTACACAACCCAATTCCAATCGGGATTCATTTATATACAATCACAAATACCAATATATGACGTCATTGGAACCCAATTCCAATCGGGATTCATATATATACAATCACAAATACAAATATATGACGTCATTGTAACCCAATTCAAATCGGGATTCATTTATATACAATTACAAATATAACAATTATATAATTATGACGTCATTGGAACCCAATTCAAATCGGGATTCATTCATATACTATTACACTTATAACATTTGTATAACTATGACGTCATTGGAATCCAATTAAAAATCATTTATATACAATTACAATTATAACATTTATATAACTATGACGTCATTGGAACCCAATTCCAATTTCAGGAAAACAAATATTGCATTGTAACATAAATGTGTCACACCTTAAGGTTTCGTGGTCCGAACAGCAAAGGTTTAAAGTTTACAACTCGTTACCATTGTTGCAAGGTTCACGTACGGAATGGTAGAAGTATTCTATGTATATAATACAAGGCCGAATTTGATTTAAGTATTCATAAAATTCCAGACTTAATCCAAATCTTACAGGAAGCACGTTCTAGCACCATTCAAGCACGCCAAATGCCCATTTTTCTTATAACCTGAGTTACATAGTCTTAGTATATATGACGTGTTTACATATGCGTCATCACCTAAAAAAAAATAAATAGTTGTATTATTAAATTTGAATAAATTATGGTGTCATGGCCCTTAAGAGGGGTTTTAAAGTTACATGATTGCATCAAAACAAACTACATAATTTATCAAACTAATTTTCGATATTACATTTTCTACTTATATAAATATTAATTTATTAAATTTTATTTTTCATAAATTGTTTGAAAGTTGAAAGGAGGATATTTGTAAATGAGAAAATTGTAAAATAAAACATTAATTGCTAGAATTATTTTTAAAAAGAATGAAAAATAAGTTAATCTGAAAGAAATGAAGGAAAATATAAGCTGAAAAAGAGAGCTTCAAAAATAATATTCATAGAAACTAGGGTAACGAAGTAAGATGTAAAATGTAGGTGTAAACCTAAAGATTGAGGGGGAAACCACAGAAGAGAAATGTGGAAGAGTTTTGAAAAGAAGGTTGAGAGGGACGAAGGTTTAGAGAAGTAACGTGAAAGGGTAGAACGACAAAATCGAGAAAGAACGTCTAATTTGAAAGAGGATATTGAAAAAGGGTTAAAAACGAGAAAGAAAATATCAAATTTAAAAATATTAGGTGAACAAGGGTTAAATGAAGAAAAAAAACATTTGAAAAAGGCTAATTGAAAAAGGTTTAAAATCGAGAAAGAAAACGTTTATCGGAAAAAGGCTAGGAGAAAAAAGAGTTAAAATTGAGAAAAAACATCTAATTTGAAAAAGGCTGGAAAAAGGGTTAAAATCGAGAAAGGCTAGATGAGAGGCAAGGAAGCGGTAAAGTAAGGGGAGGTAATTTGTATTGTGTACAAACCATACTATTGTTTATGTATATATAATAATTAAGATTTGATTGTGTTCAGTAGAGCGGTGTCCACGCTACTTTCTTCTTCTATTACTTCTAGACGAGGCTGGAAATAACATGGCATATTACATACGATATACAAACATTGGCCCATATACCCAGATCGTTACTATGCTAGAGACAAATAGCCTATACATCACATATTTAGTCGAGCAAAGATATTATGTACATGCGGATCGGATTCGAAATATAAATAAGAGTTGTCTTTCTTTGTGTATAGGTCAGAATAGTTACTAGTAATTACCATACCTGAAACTAACAATTAAAATTAAACTTAACTTTCGTTTCGATTTTTTATTAACTTTTATTTTTGATATATTCACTTCAGTTAGGGTCTAACTAAAGCCCTGATGAACGTTCGTCAAATCAACCTTTTGACCTCACTCGTTAACGTCTGCTTTAACCAATCAAATTTCTACCCTCTCCAGCGTTGACATTTTTGTGGCACGGTGTTCATAAGGTTAGATCAAAAGGTACATTTCATGAACGTTTAAGAGGGCTGTTGTTAGACCCCAACTGAAGTGGCTATATTAGAAAAAAGCTGATAAAAAACGAAATGAAAGGTGGTCTTATTTCAATTTTAACTGCATAAACTAAGTGTTTTTGTTTATGTTTTGAATCGTACCTGAATGTTCATAAATATCATTGCTTGATATTCGACCACATTTATATGACGAATAGTAGAACATCCGTGCATGCAAACAATAATATCTATCGCTCGTGTATTAGTAACATGCATTAATCTAGCGTTAAACAGTTCGAGTTAATGACAAAATTTTACCAATTACCATTACAAAATATACGAAAATATTAGCTATTTAGACTCTTACATTTCCATGTATTGTTTGCTTCTTGATTAATTGAGGCCCGCCATCATGAAGGCTCAATTTGTTAATCATTTCAATATCAAAATACTCATCTTGCTACATAAACCGACCACCAATATATAATCACCAAAAACATCGTTAACAGTGCCTACCTCATAATCAGGATAATACTCAGATTGTCTAGCAGCAGTTACTGCATCTAATACTGTTAAATATATCTTATCACTATGTTTATCTACAAACTCCGTTGCTTCAAAAATACGCCATACATCATCTAAAATAAATAACGTCAAAACGTCTGAATTTGCCCCATAACGAGTTTAGTAATAATTTAGCGATATAACGCCATATACTCTTTTTATATATAAAACTTTTGAAGATGTCATCACGTTATATCAAGTAGGGATTGCTTTCATTAACTAAATTGCATGTTCCTATGCCGTATTTTGTTACAGAGATCCTTCACCAATAAGGCACGTACGCCTAGAATCTTAAAATCGTCCACTCACCGTTTACAGCAGCTAAGAAAACTGTAATACCACAACCTTCATAATCTGATATTAACTGAAAAATGAACAATTTAAATTCAAATATTGAATTATTGATTATTACCGATAAGGGACCAATCGTGCAACGTTATGCTGGTTTATTGAACACTCGACAGGTACTTTAGATGCGCGTACAAATAAGACATGTCTCAAGTGAAGCAACTTTTTCTAATAAAATTCTAGTATTTCTAAATTGTACAGTATAAGCGTATCATACTTACTAATTTGAGTATTTTGACACCAACAGGATCCACAAAGTGCATGGCCGAGCAGTCGATAATGAGATGATGGAAGGGGCGAGGATCGTCAACGTCTGGTTTATCATTACCTAGAGAACTGACACTACCCGTACTGATATAAGAGTCTACTGAAACGATACTTCCTCGCTCTAATTGTAACCTTATATGTTCCTTAGGAACTAAGTCTTGTTGGCTTATTGTACCGTTTTTCTGAAAAAAGTAAAGAAATCACTAGTAAATGAACGACTTTTATTGCATTCTTGTATTACGGAATTGTACGCTAGCGAATATAGCCAATCAGAGGCTTCGACAAGAGGTCTGTTAATAATAAGCCATAACGTTAACAGTCTTTCTGTCGGGATGTGATTGGCTATACATGTATTTGCTGGCATATAATTCAATCAAAACACTGCATTCAGTGATACGAGAACAGTTGATATTGTAGTCAAAGTATAAGACGAAGTTGGGCGACTTGACCTTGACGCGTTGTTTACCTTACATTTATAACAATAGCATCTCGATATCGGTTCGCTACGAAAAAATTTCTTAAAAATATTTCTCTGTTATAAAACAACAACATGGTCCAATCAACCATAATTACCTGTTCAGGATCGCCAATCGTAAATTGATTGTCTAGATTCAATTTTTTCAGAATTTTTCGGAATCGTTCTGGTTTGACGCCTGTAATTCTGTAGACGTTTTTGACGAATAATTCAGCATTGGCATAATACAGTGGAGAGTTGAAACCAATAACACTGACTCCAGATATCTTCTCAGACTGAAAAACAGGAATATAAGAAATTATATGAAAATTGACGTTCAAAAAACGTTTTTGGACAAAGCAAACTACTGATAAGGCCTGTGGCTACAGGGGGCAAGGAGGGAAGTGACCCTCCCCCTCCCCACCCCCAAAAAAGGTATTGCCCCTACCCACTTCCCAGAAATAAAAATCATTACTGCAACTCAACACCAAACAATATTGGCCCATTGTGATATCCGAACAATGAAGTCTGACTTCGGGCCTGCTACTGATATTGACAATTGCCATTGGTCTAGTTTCCCAGCCCTTTTCAGATAAAACTCTCTCTCGAATGGTTTATATTGTGAAAAATGTTATTCTAGTATTTAAACCCACCTTTTCGTATGTAGATGATGTTTGTAAAACTTCAACATCTGATACTTTCTCTAGAACTTTAGCAGACGCCCTGAAATATACAGCGTATTATAATTACAAATTAGTCACATTTTAGTGCACAAGAGTCGTAAGAGCCCTATTATTGTGGGGTAATATGATATTTTAAGTCGTTCCGACCGAACACACTTTTAGTGGATGACGGAGAACCTTGTATTCCTCTTGGCATCATCCAATATACTTTCATCTGTCAGAGCGTTGTTCTCTTCTCTTTACATGATACAATTTTGCTAGGTTACGTCGAACAAAAGGTGGTCATGGGTTTTAATCTCTATCGGCTGGTGAAAGAATGGTAAAGGCCAATCTCAAGAGGCCTTGCCACGCATCAGCTGGATATGAAGGGTCTGTGTGAACCTAAGTTGTTTTCTTTGTAAAATCAATGCCAAAAAGTTTGGTCAAAGGCTAGCTGGTAGAAAGGATCGTAAGTTGTTTTCCTTGTAAAAATGATTATTGTTCTTTTCCCTCATACTTATATACTTTGGAGCTTGAGTTTTCATCCTCTTTTGTCCGTTTTCGAGGGTCTACATAGCTCCCAATGAATAATGTATAGATTAAGTACATATACTTACATCTGAGTTCTGATGACCACAGTAAAGAAGGAGAAGACTATTCCAATACCTAATCCATAGTCCACATGTAATACAACCACACATAAGAATGTTACGAGCCAGATCGCCTGAAATATAGTTAACGAATTATTTTTGAGAAATGCTCAAAGGAAAAATCTAGAAAAGTTTATAAAACGACCAATTCAGGGTATTTCATCTGGTCTGTCGCAGTCAAAATGAGCGAATGAATCATATTGAAAAACAACTGTTAACTATTAACTGCGATTAACTTGATGGTCGTAAGTTCTGACTGTTCATTATGACGAACAAACCCAGAGCAACATGAGCCTTTGAGGTAAAAATACAGTTGCTCCAGATCACCCTACTAGCATCTCTGACCAACATTTAAGGTAGCTTACCACGTCGAATGGAGAAACGGCGAAGAGTTTTGGTAGATCCAACAACTGTAAGAATAAACTTCGTAACGCTACTATGATGATAGCTGATAGTACACACTGCAAAAAAAATATAGATGTTAATCCATAAAAAAATTGGATGGTATCATATGAAATCCATCACAATTACACCCTCCCCTCTCCCTAACCGTCACAAAAAGTAAACAATGATGATACTGTCTCCTATATAAGATAATATTTTACTTACGTTGGGCAAAGCTTCAAACAATGGGGCTAAGAACAGAATAACGATCAGAACCAGACAAGCTGAGAAGATACTGGCAACCTGAAATAAGACCAAAAGGTTTGTTTGGAACACGTACACAAAGCCAAGAGTATTCCAGTAGCCATCAATGAGTTGTATGCGAGTTTTTATTCCAAATCACTGCAGCTACTAGTAAATTCAATAATAAAAAAACTATTTGGTTCGAAAAACAAATGATGCCGGGGCACGTTGATCGCTCATTTTGGAAAAATACGAATTTAAACTGTTGACTCATGAGGTCTGTGAATATAAAAGGTCTTCAGGGCGCTGTGAGCTATGCATACACTACTGGTTGGATCGATGGTCTCTAGTATGGGCAACCACAAAACTCAGGTCTTTGGTGTTCAATGTGGAACTCGGCGAAAGCATTGTTGTTCATTGCGTGAGCGCAAAGTTGCCTGTAACACTAGCTCATCAACGGTCAATTTACAGAAAATATCTTATAGTTAGCCACCTACCTGAGTGCGACCACCAGCAGAGTCTTGGACAGAACTTCTAGATACCGAGGCAGCAATAGGGTAGCAGGAGAAGAAGGATCCAAAGAATGATCCTAAACCATAAGCCATAAATTCCTATAAGAAATATATCGATCAACACTTTAAGTAATGCGATGAGATGACCTTTAAGAGGTGGTTTCCGTTACTCAAAGATTCGTAAGATATGAATTAGCGTGGACTTGTGCATTCAGAACATGAGTGAAACGGAACTTAGAATACAGGTCATCCCTTTTTCATGACAATGAGACAGCCTCGGCTCTCTAGAGACTTGATCATGTTATTGCTAAAACCAAAAGATATTGGGAAACAAGTCGTAACCTATGCCAACCCATCCCACGTCTTGCAATCATACACATCCCTATGTGTGCTGGTGGGATAGAGAGATGAGGGAGACGGGGGAGCGTGGGATCAAAACCACTGCGTACCTTATTTGAGTCGATATCATAATGATGTTTTTTAGCCATGAGAGCAGCCAGCGATACAGACTGAGCGAATCCTACTATAGCTATAATCAGACAATCCACACCATAATCGTTAACATGATCAAATTTTGGTACAGCGGGAACTGGTAAACTGAAATAGAATCCAGATGCAATGGAAAAATGAGCAAACAAAACTTCGGGAAGCTATTGATTGATGTGCTTCCTCGTGTGAAGCACCCAATTGCAATGGACTCGAGTTCTACGTGTAATTTGTTTGCTCTTGGTGGAACAATTGCGACTTGCAACTAACTGGATTTAGATTAAAAGCAAATCTGATGATGATTTTGTATCAGAAACATATGCCGCTTTCCATAAGACGAGCTTCAATGAAATAGAAGGAGAGATCAAGATCACTTACCCGCGTGGAATATAACCAACAACACGTATATTATAGATTTCATGGAAATTACCAAAATGTGATGCAACAGTTCCTAGAATAACCTACAAAATAAGATGAAGCATTAAAAATCACAGCATCGGGATGGTTATACAGTATTACAGGGTAGTGACATGTTTGATGTGGTTTGTAAACTCAGATCCCCCACCCCTTCAACTAGAGCTCCCCCCAAGCTTTGGTGGTATCTACGCCACAAATCTCTTACAAATCACGCTCTTGAATATGAATTTATCGTTCATCATCGTGTCCAACCAACTTCCAGATCACAGTGGTTGTTTTCAGTGGTTAGAATTCAACCGTTATTCAGAAAGAAAATACATTTTAAGCAACACTGGTTGATGATTTCCATTTAAAATAATACCCTCAGCTACCTGGTATACCATGCTTGTCTATGTGTGACGTATTCCGATAATCTATTAATAGCTGACTATTAGCTGAGTCCATGTTTGACTTATTCCGTTAAAATATATTTAGAGCTAACATAGTCTGGTATAGATCAATACTTACCACAACAAGTTCAATAGGAACAGGAATTTTCAGCTTAGCCTTAAAGCGTTGATTAATCTGAACTTTCACCAGGTATAATATCACAATACAGATTAATGTTATCACTAGCTCCGGTATATTGGTGTGCACTATATTCTTAATGATGGCGATATACGTCTGAAATAGAAAATAGGTCAGGTTGAAAATACACGTGCATCTTTGATATTCTTATTTTGCAGTTTCTTATGACGCCATTATACTTATCTCGTTAGGATAATAATGGTTGTGGGTTAGATTTTCCTGTCAGCAAGGATTCGACGACCTTCAGCAATTCGCTTGTCCTATCCTTATGTACATACGTAAGAGTATTCCGGGAAAGGACGCTTGAAGTATCATAAGTTCATCATTTGTTTATTTTTAATCTTAAAAAGTTGATTCCAACTCTTGTTAAACTTGTTAAAGTTTTAATGTTTTAGTTGAATTCCTTTGAATCTCATACTTACGTTAATGATTTGGAAGAGGCCTCCAAATCTTGGAATTTTGATTCCCAAGGCGTATTTAACCTGACTAGTAAATACATGGACAGCCGCTCCCGTAGTAAAACCACTAACTAACGAATCGGACATGTATGTCGTAACAAAACCAACTCGACAGATACCCAAGGCAACCTGAAAAAAGAGAACTTTTGTTAGCATCTTGAAAAAGCTACAATCTTTTAATTGGGATATGAAGACCTAGGCTCAGGAAAGGGGAGTAACTTTTGAAACATTACACAGTACTGATGTACACAGATTCACTAGCAATAAAAGTCTACCATAGCACTCTCAATCATCAGAAGGTTATCGACTTGAAGCTTTAGGACGGGGTATCTAAATTTAACAAACGAGAATGTTAGCGTAAATGAGTTTACCGACGCATACACCTTTAAGGCTTCACTGAACTCAAATAATATTAACAACAATTCAGGTCGGTCCAGTACATCAAGTACAACGGTAATAACAGTGGCTCATAATGTAAGAGAGCATATGTTAAAATATAGAATCCCGGAGAGATCCCCAACCGGCTTTAATCCACTGGGTACTAAAAGGAAAGTTTGTAATAACAAATCGTAAAGGGGCAGGTCAGTTACCGCTAGGCTGTTAATATAAAAAAAACTCTCGTAATATTTACACTGACTACTGATATAGAGAAGGTTATCGGAGTCTTCAAAGCTCGGATGACAAATCTTAGAATGACGTTTAATCAAGATCGACACAATTTCAATGACTTTTTAACCTTGAGACTCGTTGCGTCTGAATTTCTTTATATTTCATTGAAGCATATAACATAATTGTATACAAAACATCATACCCACCCACAAACATAAATATGGATACACCCTTTGCGTTTTAAAGGGACAAATGCGCTATTTCTTTTACCAATCATACCTTAGTCTCAGAAACGGGATTTATTTTTTTAACTATTAGGTGTTTATTAGCCTTCAAATCCATGTGTATCAAGAATTATCCGCGTATGAAAGTTAAAAGATGACTCGTATTTTCTTGTGACACTGTCATATATAGAAAAGACATCTATAGAAATAGTTAAAGAAATTCCCAGTTTAAGATATTTTTTAACAAATTGTGCGTTTTCCGTACATTTCTAGTACGATTTTCCAAAAACGTGCTGTGCAGATAATGCCACGAGGCGATAGTTAGTGCGGTGAATCACCATCCCTCCAGGAATAAGGCTGATTAGGGTACCCCCTGTGAGCCCCCTCCACCCCCTTGTTATTTATGTGACCCCTACCCCTCCCCTTCTTCATCTAATGATTTATAGAAACGCCACTTAATGGAAGGTGACACAACGAAGGTTGAGAAACTGTCCAACAGTGTGTTGACCCTAAACCCGCAACTGATGGTAGACGATGATAACATACTATGACAGAGCCGTGGTTTAGCTGGACCAATTAAGTTTATAGTTTTACGTCAGAGGACGTAGTAATTTGAAGCTTGACTCGTGCCATGGATCGGATTTTCAGTGTCATTGGTCGAATGGCTTCTTTTAATCTGAATTTAAGTTCTTTGTCCCCTGATATCATTCCCTACATAGCTATGTAGATACGTCATTCAGTGAAATTATAAAATTATGGGTTGTAATGAAGTTTTCTAAACTTTAATGCAGTGACGTCATCAAACAGTTAGTTTTAGTGAAGTTGCAGAAACCACAGACGTCTGATTGGAATGGTGAAAATTGATGCTATTAGTGCCCCCGATACACATAAAAAATGAGAAAACCCCTTTAGAACCTCTTTAAGAAATCCTCATACCTGAATCAAGCCAGCGACGAAGCCAACACTAGAAGCAATAGCTATCCGGAACTGAGCTTCTTCAAGACTGTATCCTTCATCATCTGACGCTGCTGATATACCACCCGTACCATTGACTAGACTGGAGTTAAAGGCTAGATCTAGACCACCAGCATCCGCTCCTCCACCACCAGCCTTCCAAGCTGTGGTCATCTTCGATACCACTCCTCCTGTCATCAAACTCACCACGGCCACCGTTCCTGAATAATACAAGTTCAGAATGAAAGGGACATGTTCGTCACCCGTTTGACCAATCGTATCTTAGTCTCAGAAACGGGATTTTATTTAGCTGAGCTAACGGCGGCCATATCTCAACATCGAAATTTGAGCCTTCAGATCCATGTGCGTCCATAATTATCTGCGCTTGAAAGTTAAAAAGACGACTCGTCTTTTCTTGAGACTCATATATAGAAAAGGAAAAATTTTTGTTCTGAGGTGGTAGAGGGGTTAGTGTCTGGGTTTTGCGAGCGAGGCAAAACATAGCGTCAGTATTCCTTGCATAACAAATGTATTAAATACGAAACTAGCTGATTAAAATTGTATTTTAAACATTAACCATTTCAATCATTAGAGCAAGATTAACTGCCTTAATTACCCTGGATAGAAGTCACGGAGCATGTCTCCTGGACAGAGTGCACTAAACTATGCCAAAAGAAACAAATACACACATTAAAATCATATGTGAATATGAACATATTGATATTAATTCTGAACATGTTTTTTTCATAAACAACATTATCGATTGAATAAAAACAACGGATTCGTTATTTTTGGTACTTGATAATAATTTTTCATGTTATTTCCCATGCACAGTCACCATACGAGACAACTTAAAGTTTTTACGTGGAAACGTAATTCACAGCCGTTTTGAACACTTCCTCAGTCGAATTTTTAAAAAGGGTGTAGTATTTCAACAAAGCCTTAAATCACATCTAAAGCCATTTCTAAACCTTTAAATATAATTTGAAGGCTAAGTTAAAATATTATAGCCTTTTTAAAAATTCGACTGTTTAAGTCGAGAAAGTGATTCTATTTTATAAATATGACACAGGCACCTGTTCTGATTTCATGACTTAAACTTCATATTTTATAAATATATTCATATGAAAAGTTCATTTGCTCTCATAGCAATGTTCTGCCAATATGTTGCTTTGGATATTGGGTTTCGGATCGTTATTACTTTATGAATGACATTATAACATATGTATAAGTAAGGTTTCGGGCACAAGCCGCATCTTGAACTAATTCGTCACCCATTTTATTTCTTTCCTACCTAACAATTGTTATCGAATGCCTGTGGTTAATCAATGGGAAGCACTTGAGCAATGTATATCATTGTGCTACGATATACACAATTCTTTTATTGATCCAACGATAGCAAAGAACGTCCAGGAACGACTCATATCTTGGAAAGAACAGTCCACTTTATTTCTAGGTGGTTCAAGTAACAATGAACGTAATATAAGGCTGAGATTTATAGCTCCAATTACTATTTATTCTACCTCCAGACTAATTGGACTGATCTTGTCTTGTCATGAATATGAGCTCATGTCAAGGATGTTAGATACGAATCACTGTATCACGTGATATAGAAACCCAGTCATGTGACTTACCTAGTGATATTTGTTTTGAAGTACCAAACAGGAAGTAGATTAAAGGCGGGAAAAATGACATGTATAAACCTACAACTGGTGGAAGGTCAGCCAACATGGCGTACGCCATTCCTGAAAAGAAAGAAAAGAAAAACACGTTTTCATGAAATTAAGAACTCTAAGGTTTCAAACACTCGGAAGAAACCACCACCACCACCACCTTAAAGGAATGTTTCTCAAAACGATAGGACACTTCCAAGCCATGAAGTTAAGATGGCCGGAATCAGATTCAAAGAGACACAAGTACGGTTTTGGTTGCTGCATACGTGGTTTTGTTTTCAACTCAGATGCATGTTTATGAATCTTCAGGTGGGAGTGGGAGTCTATGTTAAAAAAAATAGTAACGCGGGGGGGAGTTCTGAAGGAGTCATGCCTTGCTTTTGATTTCCCACACTGTATAGAAATATGAAATATGTCTTTCAGAAAATGTAATTGAAATGAGAAGGAGAGGCCAGTCTCAGTTTTGAAGGAGTCATATCTTGGTTTGGGTATTCCACATTGCATAGAATAAGAGTTACGGGCCTTGTGTTCAAGCTAAATGTCGTGCAAATGACATAAACATAACTAATATTTTTTGAAGAACAAGATGCTTTAGGATGATTTTTTCAGTTATGAACAATAAAAGTTGTATAACGTGTAGATCGTGATGATGTTTATACCGACAAAGTGTCAAAATGTTAATATATGACTTAAATAAATGCTGATTTTGTAATACATGAATCTAGGAACGTCCTTTTGTACCCTCTAAACGTGTTGGGTTAGTAATGCTCCAACTCGTATTAAAATCTTTGTGACAGAGGCTACATTGCGTTTGATCTTCCCATGGTATACTTGACACAAAGTCGTGTGGTTACCTTTTGTAATAATGAAACGGAGAAGCCTATCTGGAATTTAGAATCAACTCACCTTGTGGCAGCTGCATGATGCCGACTGTCAGACCAGCAATGATATCATTGGGTAAATCAGTTCGCCATTTATACCTCTTCATGATCTTTACCACTGGAAACATACTGAAGCAACATTTCTTACGTTTCGCCGGAGTACAGGTCGTAGCATTCCGGACGGATTGTTTCATCCTCTCCGACAACGGCGGTTTTTCTTCATTTTTCAGAAACCTATCTCTAAATGTACATGTTTTATACATTGGTCGTTTGATTTCCACATATTTATTCGGAACTGATCCATTTTCGTTGACATCCATTCCGAATCACACAAAACCTTGGATTCCGACGATGATTTTTATCAAGGTTCACTTCACTGCAAGTTCTTAAGATTCACAGAACAATCTTCACAAATCAGACGCTCGATTGACTATCAAAGATGCATGTCACAGAGTTTCCTGTTGATTGAGATGCGCCCAGTTCCAAGTCCAGAAACCGAATGAAGATTCGAGTCGCAGCCTCACGTCATACAGGTACGGTAGTCTTTGATCTATGCAGCCAAGTGACAGGTGAGAAATCTTTTTGGATGAATGACAGTTCTAAAAGAGAACAAAATATATACAGTTGAATTTGATGTAGTGACAAATATTAGGCAATAAATCCTTTAACCCCATCCCCCATTTAAACGTCATTGGAAATAAAATCAAGACGGTACAGGATAAAGTATTAACTTTTTTCGCTAATGAACGTCATCTTACGACACTTGTTTTTCAAGTTTACACCAATTCGCTGTTTGTGATTTAAAAAAAATTAGGGTGAAGTCATAAGATTAATGAAAAAAATAATCAAAATTATTTTGAAAAAAATTAAATAACCCACACCGTCGTGAATTTTTTGTAAAAGAATATTGTGAAGCAAAAAAGTGAAAGTAGAGTTTAGGCTCCGCCCATTTGGGTATGATTGACAGATGGTTAATGGGGAATCTTTAGATGCTCGTGCGATGAACCTAACACCTTTATTTGAGATTGAGTCCAAGATACAAAGATTTTTTGCTATCAATTTAACTTAATATGTCATGGCTCAGATATGATGCAAAGTTTTCAAACAACGCCCATTTTCTTCACCTTTTCTTGTTTGCTACAAAAAAGGTTCATATCCATTCTAAATGAAAACAGCTTAAAGGGATTGTAAAGCAGTTTTCTTGATTTTGTATGTGTACCGGGGACACTGATAGTATCAATTTGCAACTTGCCAATCTTCAGCCGGACGTCTGTGATTCCTGTGATTCCTGCAATTCCACTAAAAATGAGTGTTTAATCGCGATGAGCCTTGTATGATTCAAATTTATTATGACGTCATTAAGCACTGACATTAAGTTTTAGTGGAATTGCAGGAACCACAGACCTCTGACTGGAAATTGGAATAGTGCAAATTGATACTACCAATGTCTCATAAACAAAATGTAGAAAACCTCTTTACAATCGCTTTAAGCACACAACAATAAAGCTCGAAAACAACATTTGCATGCATTTGTCAGAGAGGTCCTTATGTCCTCTATTTGAATGCAATTGTTATATTCAAAGGTGCAGGTACACCTATAAAGATTATTGACCCGGTTCAGATACGTGTACACCCACTGTGCATTATAGTTGGTAGTGGTAGAATTAGAAACTTGCATGAATATCTGCTGAGGACATAAGAAATAAAAGACAACAGGTAAGGTTAGTACAAAGGGGTTGAGTGGTGCTCGTGCCCAGAGTCGACTTTGGGACGGGAGGCATCCCAGAGCAACTTGATTGTAATTGATGGTATTTGAGAGAAATGGGCGGTTCTATCGCTTGAGTTAGTCGATCTGAGCTATGGAAACACCAGAGTTTCTACCAGTCGTAACCAGTTCTTATAGTTTTGCGAAATGGGCGTTTGTTCAAGTTGACTTCGACGGATCCAATGAGATTTCTACCAGTCGAACTTCGATCTTTTTGGCAATGGCTTCCAGGTATCTTTCAGAGTGTTCACATGGCTAGTATGCCATTTAGTATAGAAGATAGAGATTTCAAAGCTAATTATATCAGCTGGTTAAGTGAATAATTAAGCGGCTATATCTCTTTAAATTTATTTAATTACCGCGACTAGACAGTTTAACGTCGAGGTACGATATTGATAAAATCAAGGACAATAACTCTGTTTTCAATCACGGGTTAAAAGGGTATTATATCATTACAGGGTTTTATTCCTCATTAATAACTGATCTTTCAATTATCGTGACGAACTGACCCTGGGGCTTCGAGTAGACCTAACGTAACTTACACGAAACATCCCTCTAGGCTATGCTCTTAATTCAATTAAGAGGCGAAATGACCCTAATGAAGACAATCGATGAACTGTTAGATAGGGCTGTTGATATGACAGAAAGCTGTGAAAATCTGTGTGTAGATGATAAATAGGGAGGGAAACAAGTAGTTTGATTAATTGGCTGCTTCTTGTTTGATTTAAGGCATAGAATTAGCTGAAATTACCTAGGGATTTTTGGTAAACACTTAAGATCAAATGGATAATGTTCATACCACTATCTGCTTTTGGCTCTTTTTTTTAAATAAACCTTGATTTTCTTTATTTTGAAAAAATGAAATGAAATGATCTTCTTAATTGAAATAGACTTACAAACAATCTTATTAAAATTAGATTATAATTACGTTTCTTTGTTATGATACATGCATCTCTATTGTAATCTAACCAGTTTTCTACCACAGTCCCATTCTTAAGACGTTATTCATAACCAATCAAAGCGTGATAAAATTGACGAACCGGGGATAGCTCTACTTTCGATTTGACTTAAAACCCACTTGATCTAGGACGAAACTTGCATAACAAGGTCTAAGATAATCATTGATACTCAGCCCTAAAAGAGATACGACACATCGAATTATAACCTTGTACTAAAACTCACAAAGTTATTGAACTCTAATTTGAAGAGAAAAATTTTGCACATAAATACGGAAACGTTTTTCGCCTGTTTGCACTCTAATGCCCTTCATGGCATCATACCACAAACAAGTTGTCAAAGCCTTGACAGTTAGTTGCCGTGACCGATCCTGGATACCTTTGCAATGTTAAATCCCATTGATTCATTTGTAAAACAGACGTCTATAGACGTTTTTGATGTTTTGCCTTTTCATGATTCACGACAGTTATTGATAAATTATATTTAGTGAGGGCCAATCGTTTAACCCTTTTAGAGCAAAGAATAAAAAAAACCTGCTATATAAAGTAAAGTGAAATACTCGCTCAAAATATCACTTTCTCTCATTCAGCCACCTGTCCTCATCTTCACATTGTCAAGCTATTACAAACTGCGTCTAATACCTTGACTGCAATATCCACTTTTTTGTATCACGGAAGTTTGTAACTACAGCAATTTGATTGGGTTGTACCGTAATAAATATAGCCAATAAGAACACTCGACAGAAACACTATAAACAATTTAGCTTCAAATGTAATCGGGGGCTATAATTGGATGTACAATCCAATTAAATCGCGTCATTTACAAACCTCCGCGATTTAAAAAAAAGTGGCTATTGCATCAAGGTATAAGACGCAGTCCGTAATAGCTTGATAATGTGAAGATGATCTTTCCTTTTCCATTCATTTCGTCCCCTTGACCTCGATCAATAAGAAATCTTTTCAGTAAGCAAGAAAATTCAAAATCACGATCGAGCTTTACGTGATCAGTTCACTAAATGACTTTGATACATTATGCATGTATTATAGATTATTTATATTTAAATATCAAGGTATACACTCATCTGTACATTTGGGAGAATCAAACCCGCTCTACCCCAAAATCCATTTCATTTACATACTTCAAGTCATGGCAAAATTTTTCTCATTGCACACTCCTTGGCATGGCCACTCTATGTTAACTCGTAAAACGAGTAAGACGTAAAACTCTCTATGCAGTCATGGCAAAATTTCCCTCATTGCACACTCCTTGACGTGCCCACTCTATGTTAATTCAATCAGGTGCATAAAATAATTAAAATAAAAAAAATAAAACTCTATATTTTACATCAAGCCATGGCAACATTTTCCTCATTGCAAACTGTATGGTGTTGCAGCTCTGTATGAGCTCAATGGGTTGCATATTAGTAAGACGTAAAACTCCATTTCATCAAGTCATATATGAATAAATCAAAACCTAGTCCTACCTTACATTCTAGCTATCTGTCAGTCTAATGGAGACAAATTAAAATTCAACTTAGTATTAATGATCACTGCAAATATATTAGGATACGAAAAAATTTAAAAATGACCAAAAATATTAAATATATTTTGTCGTAAAAACCACCTCAAAATTTTTTTCATGGTCAACTTTTTAGTTTATGTTTGTGACAAGAAAACGACCGTTTCACAGCAGGCAAGTCCTCGCCATTTCTTGTCGTTTCGATTATTTTTACAATTCGTATTTTAAACGTCACGTTGAATAGCAAATTATTTCAAATTATGACAATATTTTTCGTGGAAGGGTACATGTTAATGTGGGGTGTTTCTAGGGGAAATATATAAGTTGCTACTTGCTAGGATATTGTGACTACGTGTTACTAGATATGTTTACTTGTATTGGAAAGATATGTATTGCAAGGTATGAGTAAGTAGGAAAACTTATGTGTTGCTGAGTATGTATACTTGTTGCTAAGAATAACTTTACGTTGCTAGGCATATGTACCGCTTGCTGTAGAGAGTTGCGTTGCTAGGCACGCGTACTGGTTGCTGTAGAGAGTTGCGTTGCTAGGCACATGTACGTTTTGCTGTGGGGATTGTGTTGCTAGGTATTTGTACTTGTTGCTATGGAGTTATATGTGTTGCTAGGTATTTGTACTTGTTGCTATGGAGTTATATGTGTTGCTAGGTATTTGTACTTGTTGCTATGGAGTTATAGGTGTTGCTAGGTATTTGTACTTGTTGCTATTGAGTTATAGGTGTTGCTAGGTATTTATACATGTTGCTATGAAGTTATAGGTGTTGTTAGGTATTTATACTTGTTGCTATGGAGTTATAGGTGTTGTTAGGTATTTGTACTTGATGCTATGGAGTAATAAGTGTTACTAGGTATTTGTACTTGTTTCTATCGAGTTATAGGTGTTGCTAGGTATTTGTACTTGTTGCTATGGAGTTATAAGTGTTGCTAGGTGTTTGTATTTGTTTCTATGGAGAGCTG